TGACTGCAACTGCTATTATATGCTATTAATATTTGAAACATTGTGTACACACTTATTACATTTGACGAGCTATGCGAGTATGTTTCCTTTCTTCCCTTGGCTATTACCTAGACGGCAAGATAAACTCCAACATTAATAGACACCATATAGATGGTCCAACATATTCAAGGAACTAAAGAGTCTAAATAGGTGCGCAAGGGGTTGCTGTTTTTTGCATACACACACAATGGCAGTCTACGGCTCATGCTGATAATGGAGATTTTGAAGAGTAAAGCTGTTGTAAAGTTACAGAATGTATTGTTCAACGAAAAGAAAATGAGGATGTGATATCATCAGAGTATCCATATAATTGAATGACGTAGAAGTACTTTGCAGCCTCATGGACTCACCTATTCCTGGTCAACGCATCCACTGATTTAAACATGTGTATATCGGATTAATTATATGATCAAAAAAAGGGAGTGGAAGAAAAATAAAGGAAGAAAAGAGAGAGAAAAGAAAGAGCGGGCAAGAAGAGACATTGTGCTACTAGGGTTGATAAGGTCCAGTAAGGTCAACTAGCTCAGAATCAGAGTGTTCTGCTTCAGATCCAGATGAAAGAGAATGGGCGTCAAAATTTTCTGAAAGGTGAATATCCACTCGAATCATGCTTTGAAATGCGTTTTGGGATAAGGGATACCATTGATCACCTCGGATTCTAGCACCACCATCTTTGCGACCTTTACCTCGAGTATAAGGGTAGCAGGCAGGCCATTCAATCAATGTACCCGGCCTGAGCTGGATGAAAATAATATGGTTATAAATGAGCAGCATAACGATTGTAGCTGTACGTATTGCTTGGGATGGGGTGCTTAGTAAGGGGCAAAATAACGAGGATTCAGTGCCGAAGAACGCTATGATATAGGCGTTTTGAAAACATCTGAGGCAAGCTGAGCACACTCAGGATAGTAAAACCAATGATATGCGTTTGGATCAGGTGCACTTAGCATTCTTTCAGCGTCGAATCCCTAATAGATAGTTTTGCCGCGATTATTGATAAAGAACTCGCGCATTCGGACCTTAATGTCAATGTATCGTTTTTCATCTCCAAGTAAAGCAACAGCCAACGAGCGGAAACCACGATTTTCATCTGGATTCGGATTGTGCACTAAATCCACGGCAGTGCGAGGAATTGCATTGCAAACCATATCCAGATTTGACACAATAGGTGGATTAGCAGACGGAAAAGGTGATGGTAAAGAAGCGGGCAAAAAGGATGACCAGAAAGGTGGCATTGTAAGTTGTTGTTGTTGTTGCTGTGGTGGTGGTGGCGGTTGTGGTATGGTACAGTATATCCCCGTTAACGTCAACCCCAATAACGTCAACCCCCGATAACGTCAACCGATTCGCTGGTACCCTTTCAAATTTAGCAGTTAGAGATTTTGCCTATTCTCTACCCCCAGTGGTCGTCAACCCTCGATATGGTCAACACTTTTGCTGGTACCCTGATGGTTGACGTTAACGGGGGTCGACTGTAGTGATATCAGCTTTAGCTTTATGCTTGCCCTCTCTTAGTAAGCCTAGTCAGTATTGTATATGTAATAACAATAGAAGATCGATTACAGCAATGATTATACTATTAATTACCAAATATTGGCTGCTTCGCGACCCACGTTTGTTTGGCTTTCTTGTTGCTTTCGTTCTGTTGGTGCTCCAAAGCAATAAGGTCCCTCTTTGAGCTGCGCTTAGGTTTGCCTTTCGTTGGTAGAGATTTTGGCTGCTCCAGTTGCTTGATGTCCATGAAAAGATCATCACTGATGGCTTGCTAATGGCGTAGAAGGATACAACATAGTGGTGATACGCGTGAGCTCAGCCTCGATTTGACTCCATGGTGGGAGCAGAATATGATTCCGAGATTGCTAAAATGTTGCTCTACCGTGAACTGTTTCTTCCTCTACATAAAGTAACCACAATTTAGTATAGCGAGTAACAGTGGTATTGAATTATCTACACCTTCAGGAGCTGTTTTTTCAGGATGGAGATGCCAGCGTCTGGGGATAATGCTCAAAGGAATTTTTCCTTTGGATAGTATCATGTGACAGCAAGGAATTCGGTAATGAGCTTTGATTGCACATCGACAGTTGTCAATTCTCAGTGGATTTGTATATACAAGTCGTTGCGAAGCGCATTGAAGGCAAACTTCGAAATGTGGCGCTCTAAATCTACCAGCCTTTCCTTTTCACTTGGCGGGATATGGGAGTTCCTGCATAGGTAAAATCAACACACAGCGAGCAAGATTAGCAATTAATGTGCATAGAATAGGGTTGTACATACATATTAATTAACATATATATATACCTTTTATCTGTAGAATTCATCGATTTGCTCAAAAGCAAGGTAAAGATTACCATTGGCGGACTGCATGGCCTTCTTCATATTGGCGTGCGTTCCTTCAACTCTGTTGGTAGTACTATTCCTAAGATGCTTGACGTCTGCAAGGTATCGGCCGACCCACTTTTCCTTATTAGAAAGCTTACTGCAAGCAAAAGTATTACACATAAGTATATAGCCCAAGCAAACGATCTCTGATAAGAGTCCAATATATAGTTACCTCTCGAGACATGCTTTCACTTCTTCCGGCTTTTTGGTTTTCATTGCAGCCTCATTGTACATGCCGATCGCCTTTTGCTTAAAAATCCTCATCTGGAACCAGCCGCTTGTTCTGGTACTTATCATCATATTCATCAGCCATCAAGTAGTTGATGGCTTTCAGGAGTGCCTCAAAGTCCTCTTTTATCTAAAAAAGCTTTTGGAGCTTGACTTGAAAATTGCGTCTGATGTGGTTGGTGCAGAGCAATTTCTTCGAGTTGGGGAAGACGTGATCCAAGGCTTTCATCAACACGGATTCGCTGTCAGTCACAAAGACTTTCGGGGAGACTGGCTGCTCAGCTGGCCAAACAACTTGCTCAAGCTTTTTGACAAACCAGTCGTAGCTGTGATTCGTTTCTTCAGACACCCATCCACCAGCAATACAGAAAGTTTTCAAGTCTGGATAACCAACATTGCCTGTACCGACGACATTTACAAAAGGGAGCCGATGTCTGTTTGTCTTGTATGTGACATCCATGATGATGGTTTCAGGGAATTGGCGAGCAAGTGAAATTGCAGAATGATGAGCGAAAAAAAGAGAGTGCAAGAACCGTTTTTCTCCATCTTGCTTCGACTCCCATTCAACGACGTAATCCTTGTCCTGTAGTTTGCTGATACGCTTGAACATGGTATGATCGGGATCGTTGCTGAATACCATCTGTCGCATATTCGTGATATACTTGGGATCGACAACAGGTTTTACAACAGGTTTTGTTAGCAGCAAGGTATGACACAATTGCAGTATTACTGGCGTGCCCTTTGATCATGCTAAGAACAATGTCGTGCTGCTTCCCATCGAGCTTACAAAGCATTGGATACGACAAGAGCTCCTTTGTAATCTCATAATTGTGTTCACCGTCGTAAAAGGAGACAACGTGCCATTGCTGGCTAGCCTTGCTCAATGGCCGCAGCTTGATCTCAAACTCGCATTCAATTCGCTGAGAGTCTTTCTCGCACCGTTTTTTGCTGTCCTTGCTGTTAGATCGAATGACATCACCTTTGTCGTTCGCCAAGATGGTTTCTACTGTCGTAGTTTTGCCATCGTCATACATTTTTTGATTGGTAGGTTGTCCAAAGTGCTTGCAAACAAGCCGAAGGATTTTTTTTTTCCTGTATGCGTACTTTTCAAGGTACGGAGGGAAACCTTATTCTTTTTCCCGCAGTCGACGCAAGCTTGCTTGACAGAGCCAAAGTCGTCATAATTGTTTCGAAGCTCTTCGCGAATAGCACTTGTGGTTTTTGACTTTGCGATGCTTGTTTATTTGGGAATTGATACGGGCACGACAAGTTATTTCCTTATTTGTCGTGGCCGTACCATTCCCTATTTGTTTATGGCAACTACAAGAAGCAATTTTTAAAATACGCTCCAATTCCCATTTTCACTTCCTGAGTACCATGTAGTACCAAACATGATGGAAAAGATCACGATAACATACAGGTCGATGTGTATAAGGGCTATGTATGTGTCTATGGACTATCTATATATGGACTATTTATATAAGTAAATATACTGCTATTTAAATAAATATGCATTAATGCAGTCTCAGTTCCATGTGCATTTCACCATGGGAAAAAGTCGTCGAAATCGTCGAAGTTGTCGAATGCAGTTGAATCTCAGCGCAATTGTTTTCTTATTTTGGCAATTTGTGGCACCCCAGCATACCCCACTCAGAGTAATTAACGGATTATCATAGTTGCGACGATACTCGAATGTATTTATTACAAAACATTTGTTGCTTTAAAAAGGCTACGGAAATTGCGGGTGTTTGTGGTGGGGTTGAATGCCGGTGTGGAGGTCGGAGGAGAACGAGGGCGGATCGGTTGCATTTGTGGTGTTGGTGGTGGTTGCGCAATTGATGATGATATTAAAGTGGAAGGGCCGGCAGGAGCAGAAGAAGCAGAAGTAGAAAGCAAGGAATGGCAGCGAGAAGCAGCCGATGATCTAAATTAGTACTTAAACTAGAATGCGATATCATCAGAATGGGCAAGTTGCTTAATGTTTACACCGCAGCATCGTCTACACTGTCGCTATAGCTTAAGAATTTATACAGTTAGCATCACTTCACCTACGGCGACATGTATATGCCCTGGATGCAGTTGTTGGAGCTGGACACACCCCGCGTTCACTGGACGACTTATGATACTAGGCCTATTTATATACTTGAGAACCACTTTTGCAACGAATCAAAAAATCTGGTAACAGATCCCCATTTGTACATACCATGTCCGGTGAACGCTACCAGAAGCATTGTTGTTCTTTCTAGAAACAAGTTCTCCAGTACGCAGCATGTAAATGCCTGATGCCCTCTTGCTGCCACTAACATCTTAGAACGCCAAAGCTCGTGGAAAAGATAAAGAGTTACCCAATGCTTCTAGCAGTTATTCGAAGGCTGTTCGTCATATTCCGAAAATACATGATTTTCGAAATCAACGAACAGAGCTTGCAATTCTTGTATCGGCAGACTTCTGTAGGCTTTCTTGCCTGGAAGTAGGCCATCGCGCATTCGCTTCAAACGTTCCAAATCTGTGTCTTCTGCTTCCTGCTTCAACATGTCGTACATCTGCCCAGGAGAACCTCTGCCAACCTGCAGCCCTTCTTTGGTGTACAAAGATATGACGTTCGTCTTGGTGATGGTTCTGGCTGTTCCCATCTGTTCCGGTGTTGGTTCCTTAATTATACCTTCAGGTCGAACGACATAGTCAACTGCATGTTGGTAAGTGCTAAGAGGTGCTTACTGTTGTCCACTGCTGCGGCTGCTGCGGTTGTTGTTCAACCTGCACCGACTGTTGTTGCAAATGCTGATGTTATACTTGCTGCACTAGCTGGTGCTGCTGCAGTAATCTGCCTTGGTGATCAGGACGACGAAGAATTCAATCTTCAAATGCGAAATGGCACTGCTTGACACGTCCCAGTGCTTCCACGTAGGGATCAGCAGGAATGTTGAACTGGGATGGGGTGGGAGTTGTTGTTTGTGTCCATAGCAATTGAGTTTGATGAGGGGGGAAGAAATAAGTTGAGGCTTACCAGTAGTCGGCACATGTATAACGAGAAAATTGCCGTCGTTTTCTTTACTGAGCTTATGTTGTTCTTTATCCATGCTTACGAAGGTTTGTGTTCTGGTGGTTTATTAGTGGAATGCATACAGATCTGAGATGCTTACCCTCGGCATTCCACCAAGTGATGAACGGCTTCTATGCTTGGTAAAGCTATATGGTAATTTATGCAAGACCGAGCATGACGCAGGCTCAAGATTAAAAAAGAAGGTACCCTATACACATCGCACTTGCAACAACTCGAGTGAAAGCGACAAGTTGTACGTCACCTACGCCGAAACTATTAAAGGTTACGCAGGACTCCTGAAGTCCTACATACCATATGTGGAACTCTGTGCTCCCACGATTGCCGATTCTGACGAAATTCAATGTCCACATACCACATATGGAACTCTGTACTCGACGATTTCGACGATTTCGACGACTTCGACGACTTTTCCCTATGGTGTTTTGTAAGACGTGTCAAACCAAAGCTGATTTTCTTTTGTTTGTTTAATAATTATCGTGGCCTCCGTTTCTGCCCTACATAATATTTGTCGCATATCCTGTCCATGCATCTAGGTCACTTCTTTATACAAGCAAGTAGCAGTTGCCAGTGCTATTATTTCATTCTGCATGTGTGTGTCTCCTTTCTGGCAATATACATTCAAAAGGCACATGCAAAGATAGACATACACTTAGTTAATCGCTTCTTATATTAAGTTACTTGTATCTATGCTAATGCTTCGTTCTTCAATCTTGTAACAGGTATTGCTTCAATTCGATCTATGATTGAGGAATGTGAATGAAGTGGTGTCCAGGAAGTGGTTCGGTGGAAGGGTGGTGTACGAAATGGTTCGGTGAGGGGGTGGGGTGTGCGAACTCAAAATCCGGGTCGGGCAGTGATTGGACCTTCCTCCATGAAACCGACCACCGGCCCACCACTCTTTCGTTCCTTAGCAACCCTGAAGTCATAGCAACTCACCACACAGCGAACATGTCAACTCTTAAAACGCGTGAAGACACTAAATTGGAACAGAATCGTTGCAAATTGGGTACCTATGAAAATTTTGTGTTATATAGCAACGCCATTCTTAGTCAATAGTAGTAGCATACCAAACAAATGAACATTTGTCCTAAAGTTTTTTTTACATGTATTTTGACAGAGATTGAATCTTATATAAATTCATGCGTTGACGGTGGCTCTGAAGTTAGTTTTGCAGGCTTTGTTCGAGATCGCCCGACTGTTGTCATCCAAAAATCGGTTCCTGGTACTAATTACAAGGCTTTCTGGGCCAATATATTTGGAAACGTAGTAAGTGACCTCGATGTAGAGCTGGTAAGAGAAGCATATTGTATAAATTGGTGGGAAATGCTTGTTTACTGATGAAGACACATGAAGGTCAAAGAACGCGTTGATTGGACAGCTGTCGATGCTCAAATTCACGGTGAAGGCACATCAAGCCCAAATACGCAAGTTCCATCCGGAAAGTCTTCAAGCTCACCACCATCCAAGTCATGTACCTCCGTGCGACTGTCATCAGCTGAAAAGCCGCTGTCGACAATGTATACAACAATCTGCCATAAGAAAAGTGGACCCTATCTACGGGAAAGGTAGTGGAGGACACCATGCACGCATTTGTTAAAAAATGCTCTTTTGAACAGTGAGTTTCATCTTCTATGGTTGCTTATGCCGGCCAAAAAAAGCTAATTGTTTATATATAATAGTCCATCCCATTCTCTTATACGCGATCCTTTGGATCCCTGCTGGTCAGGGTATTTTACCAAAGAAGAGATACAAGAGATACAGATGCATAATGCTCTGCAGCTTCGAGAGTTGCCTGAAGGTCTACAAGCCTATCTGCAACTATTTGCGAATAAGGTGAAACTATTGCCTGCCTCTTTTGCTATTTCCCCTTTTTCAATTGCAATAATTTAAAATATATTTTTTGATATCTTTAGCACGTTCTCGAAGACTTGGTAGAGCTGCATTTCAGACATCGCTTCCACCTGTCTCAAGTTGACGAATGCTGGGCCGAAAAGGCAATTGGCGAAGTGCTTGACTTATACTACTACTCGTACAACTTTTTCAACAAAACCCAAAACGACCTATTACGCCGTCTATGGGTTTTCATCGAAAAGTGTTTTGACGAGAGCGTGTTTGAAGCTGTCATGTAGGAGCTTAATTTATAATAATATATACTTTTGAAAACTATAAAATTTTCTCAATTACTAGATTGTAAAAATTTCTTATGTTTTCTTTCATTTAATTTTAATACTAAGAAAAATAAATCAATGATTTTCTTTTTCTGTTCCTCTACCACCACCACTTACCCTCTCCTCCTCCTCCAACAACAACAAACAACAACATTGACATGTTCTTGTTTTTTCCTAATGGTAGAAAATACTCAAAATTATTATTTTGATGTATTTTCAGAATATCAAAAAATAAAAACTTTATTTTTTAGATATTCAAAGAAAAGGATAAATATAAATATTTATCTCTTTTCTTAAAAACAATTTGTTTTTTCTATTTTTAAATATAAACTCAAAAAAGAATAGAATATTCTTTTTAGAGCATTTTATGTTCTGAGTTTAAAATAAATTTAATTTAATTTAAATTTAATTTGAAATATTAATAATAAGAGATAATTTTATTATCCTTATTATTTTTATTTCTAAAAATAGATTTATTAGATAGAAATTAGCTCGCTACACAAGCTTTTAACCCGAAGGGTAATTTCTATCAATAAACTATTTTTTAAGAAAAGAGATAAATATTTATATTTATCCTTTTCTTTGAATATCTAAAAAATAAAGTTTTTATTTTTTGATATTCTGAAAATACATCAAATTAATAATTTTGAGTATTTTCTACCATTAGGAAAAAACAAGAACATGTCAATGTTGTTGTTTGTTGTTGTTGGTGGAGCAGAGGAGGAGAGGGTGAGTAGTGGTGAGTGGTGAGTGGTGAGTGGTGGTGGTGGAGGAACTAAAAAAGAAAATCATTGATTTTATTTTTCTTAGTATTAAATTAAATGAAAGAAATTATAAGAAATTTTTACAATCTAGTGATTGAGAAAATTTCATAGTTTTTAAAAAGTATATATTACTATGAATTAAGCTCCGTAGGGCTACGTTTATACTCAAGATTAAATCATATAGTTATAAATTAATATTAATGTGGGAACTTGCACAACATTAGTAGTGAGAAAGCAAGCACAGCATCAAGTGATAGGAAGAATGACGAGCGCCCACTTTCCGGTACGACACTACCACGAAGAACAGTAGGTGCGCATTTTGAGCATGAATATGCTGCTGGGAAAGCAGTTGTTTCTGGCGGCGTTACTTGTAATAAATTTGTAGTCGAAGCAAACCTGAAATTGCCAAAAATTTTAAAAGATACCATCTGGAGTTTGTCGAAAAGGAATCCGAAGTATCCATGTGCTGGGATTTGTTATAAATGGTAATAACTGGAATATGAGGAACAATAGAATAAACGACTAAATATTGTTATAATTGATTTACAATAAAAATAATAAAAATTGAATTTTTTTATTTATATTGGTAGCCTCCCATAAGAAAAAAAAGAGCGATTGTTTAAAGTATATAACAATAAATAAAAATGAACACAACACAACACACTGAACAACTCGATATTGAAATTAAAAATTAATTGATAATAAATGGAATTTTTTTTAATAATCTTGGCCTGAAATGCAACATAGATTTAATCATAGAACAACTATTAAAGATATGAAGAATAATACTATAAATGATATAAAGGATGTATTACTTAATAGATTTGGATTTATACCTGTATTTTATTTTCTTACAGTTTTATATGGAAATATTGAATATCCAGGGCCACACCGCGAGATTGAAAAAGGACTTGCATTATTATATCATATGGTATTAGGTGTATTAGGAAAGGATATGCATACTGTTATGCCATATGCAACATTTTATGATTATATAAGCGGTTCTGGATTACTAACTATAATGAATTGAATAAAAAGGTAAAACAAGATCTAGATAGTATGTTCTCATCACCACGTATTCGCATTCTATCAGCAATAATAAACAATCCAGATGGTTTTAAGAATGTTACACTATTTATTGATGGATATGATAGTAAAATAAAGTATTATAAACCAAATGAGTCACATTCACAGTTATATTCATATAAATTAAATGGGCCAGCTGTACGTACACAAGTTATATAGGATATGAATGAAATAATTACACATGTTTCAGTATCTGAAAAATGTGCTATCGGAAATGATGGTACTATGTTTATTAATATGAAACTATATAAAAAAATAAGTGAGGCAGATTGTTTAGGAATAGATGGTAGATATAACTTATTTATACAAAAGTTTTAAGATAATGCGACAGATGCTGGATATAGTTTTTATGATCGTAATTTTTTACATCCCATAAGAAAAGAACCAGAACAAAAGTTAACAATCAATGAGACATACTTTAATAACAAGTTTGGATCATTTCGTTCAGTAATAGAAGCACAGTTCTCTATGTTAGGCTCTAAATTTGAACGATTTAATAATAATCGTGCAGCATTGCAAATAACCGATATAAGATATTATAATATTCAGTTTCGTGTTGCTTGTATTCTTACTAATATATGGCGATTTGTAAATAAGTATAATATAGAGGTACAACCACATCATAAATTATGGTATGGAAAAGATTTTGAATTCCCAAGTAAGAAAAACAAACTTGACTTAGTATTTTCAAATGAGCAAAAAGTAAATACTGAATATAACGAAATGGTTGACATGCAGCAGAAATTTCTACAGCTTAACATTAATCAATCAATAGATATGGCTATAAATAGTGAGGACGAAACTGAAAATAATACATCTAAATGCAAGAGAAAAAATCAAAGAGAACAGAGAAATATAGAACATAGTAATTCATATGAAATTGAGAAGATTGTAGGACATGTGTATACTGATAATAAGTACATATTTGAGGTTAAGTGGGTTGGATATAGTGTAAAGGATAATAGTTGGTTAACAGTTAATAAGTTTAATTCCCAGGA